TTAGGCTAGACTTGATCACATTGTAATAGGATTACAAATCAATTGATATTACAGTAGTTATCGGAAGTAACAAAATGAAATATCTAAATAGATTTTTGTGAATAAGGAGTTTAGTCTTAATGATAAAGCTGGAGCATCATAACATATTTTGTGACGTAAATTTATTTAAGAACAATTCTAATGCTATTTGCCACTACAAGCTTTTACAGCGTCAACGAACGATAGCGAATGCAAATGGCACTTTAAACTCATGCAAGAACTTCTTATGGAGCGGCTGAAGACCAACTCCTGCCTGACGGAGGTCAGTGGTGCTATTGATGTAGGCTAAGGGTATACTTATCTTACCTTAGTACACTTTAGAGTCAATCTAAAGAGAGTTAGGTTATCTCTCACATCTTTCAGCCAGTTGCAAAGCAGCGTCTCTGTGAATGTTTGTGTTGTGCAAGTTTTCCAATTTTAGAGTGAGATATGGCAGTGAAATGATTGGGTACGATGGCATATTAGTCCTCCGCAATGGCAACGCATAAGGGGTTTTTTTAATGGATAATAATGGAATGGTGTACACACCTGCGCTTACGGTATATGCTGGCGGGGCACTAGCGGAGGATGATAAGATGTACTTGAGGTCAAGTCAGTCCAGTCAGCTCATCATAATGAATTTACCAGGAATTTATCACGATGATTTCAACCGTGGAGGTCAACCTGACATGGTACATTGCTAGCAATGCGTCAACAGTCCAAAGTATCTTTCTAACAATCCCCTTTCACCCTTTGACCTGATTTCTGTACTCTTCATGTATACAGGCTGTGGTGGTGACTACATTACAACAAGGTGGGCGATCAGTTTGTTTGCCATTCCAATTACAAAAAGCAGACTTTGGCCTTATTTGTGACTCCCAGTAGTGTAATAAAAATGTTGAATGCTAAAAGGAAAATTGTTACACAAACCATTCGGGTCGAGAACTTGTAACATAAAACCATAAACTCATTGTTTGAACACGAAGCCTATTGTGAACTGGCAAATTCGAAGTTTCGAAGGAAAGTTGGTATGCATTACCCAAACAGTGACGGTTGACGGCCTCGGTCGTCTTGGGGTTTAGCACACCGCCTTACTTCCGATGGTCGCGCGTTCGATTCCTTGCACGACACAAATATTTTGTATTCATGATTCTTTGTGGCGGTCTGGGTGTTTTTAGATAAGTATATGTATTTACGAAAAAAAAAAAATTATGTCTTTATATCAGTTATCTAGTACCCATAACACAAGCTTAATCTAACTTAACTTGGGACTAGATGGCGCTGTGTGATTTGTCCAAAAAATATATATTCACACAGTATAATTTGGATAATACTGTACGGAAGCAAGATAGTATGAGCATGTCCAGTATTTTGTATTGGATTAGTGGGGCGGGGCGGGTGGCAAAGGAGGAGGGTGGGGGGCGGCGGGTAGTTTGACAGCCATTAAAATGTGTATTATCCGACTGCGGTAACATTATTATCCAATAATTATGACTTGATCGAAATTCGACCATAAGTATCTTCATCGTACATTATAAAATTAAATAACAACTGCCACAATTGCCGTATGCAATTCGTTTCGATTGTGTGGATGTGTTTAGATTCTTTTTGGTGCAAAGTGTTAACTTTTTATCTATACTAATAAATAATATAAAGTGGAATGATTTGATGTGTTTGTTTTGGAGAAACTCAAACAATACTCAGCCTATTTTAATCATTACTTCACTTATAGACATCTACGCTGTCTGCGAGTAATAATGGCTGTATTTCATGCGGGCAGCACCGCGGTATATAGCTAGTGGATAAATATAGATGTAGGTGACTTCGTACTGTTTAAACGTTGTTTCATAATCATTTCATTTGTCTAGTCTAAACCCAACATAGTCAGTATTACGTACTTCTACTACTGAGAACGATAAATAAGAAGCGTTTTCAGTGTTGCCAACTAAGGTTTAATAATGCTACAACCAATTTTACGTATAATTATGAAGTTACTATACATACACTATAACAACAATATATATCTCTAATTTAGAGTAAATTTTTGGTACAGATGAACATGGAATGGAGCTCGCCACCACCAACGCCAACGAATAATACTCGTAGGACATAGGTGAGGGATAGTTAGGCTATCGTAGCGAATTCACCTCGAATAATCTGTATATTTCCAGGGTGGACAGAGTAGAAGAATGCCTTGGAATATTAGTAACAATGGGCCCAGTAATTGCATTTATAATAAATTAAATTCAAAATTGGAAAAATGTCAAAAATGTTTAGTGTATTGAAATATTAAAATTTATTGGAAAAGTTTAGCTGTTTCTAGACTTTGTTTATCGGATTTCATTTCTAATGATTATTTTCTTTGTTTTCCAAGTCACCAGAAACAATTTTTCCCACCATACGGAGGGTGAAATATACCAATTCTAATGGTAGAACTGCTAAGCTGGCAACATTGCGCGTTTCTGGAATTGCTCTAAAGTATAAAGAAAGCCGGTCCGAGACTGGTCCAGGGCGTCACCCGTAATCTGCACACAAGTAAACATTACCGAAGCGAGTTGCCAGCAACTACCTGTCCCTTTCACGCTTAATGGCCACCCAGACGGATGATAGGGACAGAAGTTAAGGGCCGGAATCAATACGACATGACATCGAGCCATGTTTTATTTTGAGGAGACAGTTTGCTTACGTGTGCGTTCAGTTACTATTCGGTCCATTATTGTAATATTTCTTTGTTCTGTTTGGGAGATAGACTGAGGTGTATGTTTGTTTTATTTGTAATTATTTTCTATTCACGCTACAGCGTTATTGTTCTATGCTAATAGAATTAGTCTGTGATAGATACATCTAATCAATATGACATTTTATTTGGTTTATGTACAGAGTTATTAGTCGATGTTATACCAAGCCTAAAACCAGATAGAAAACTTATAATACTGAATCACTTTCACTCACACTGACTGACTATAATGAAAAAATAATAACAGAAAAAATGTACCAGTTGAGCTTATTGCGGGCAATTCATCTCACCTACAGGAAGTCTGAAGAACGAGTCGAAGTAGATGGTAGGATAGTGATAAAAAATATTAGGTCATAAAGTCCTAGAGTTAGAGTGTAAATCTCAATATTTTTTTTTATATTTTCATACTAAATACTAAATGGATATTTAAATTTTTTCTCTTTGCTTCTTCAGTGAATTTATTCTATTACATAAATACTGGTATTCTGTATATGTTGTCGTAGGTACACTTTGTACAAAGTCGTTGGCTTCTTTATCTTATTTCTATTTCAGCCGACAATAAACTTGCTTTACAAGCTAAACTAAATAAAAAGGTTGTATATTAATTTATTTTCATTTAACTGAACAAAGGCCATGCCTTCAAAATAATCTATATTAATATGTATATGTAAATACTTGTGTCAAGTCTGTCTGTGTGTTCGGTATCTGGATATGAAGATAGATTATATCACGAGGATGGACATTGGCTGTCTTTTATTTAAAATAAAAGCAGACGAAGTCGCGGAAAACAGTGAGTTTGTTATAAATTATTTTGAATCATGAATCATCATACAGAGGGTAAATCACAGAACACGCCGTTTGAGGGTAATTTGCCAAAACTATTGAGTATCAACAGTAAGGGTGAGGGGTGAGAACCCCAGTGTTGGAGCTGTAAGGATATCCGTACATCGTCGCCAAATTACTAACGCTGCAATTGTAAAAGTGGTTAATAATGGATTCGTAATTTCTTGTTCACTAGCTGTTGTTACACGAGTCCTCGCCATTTTAGCTGTTTCGGTTTGTGGGTGAAACATGGCAATGAAATTGTAGGATACGGAAGCATAACATGTTAGTTATTATGGTCTCGGTGATCTAGCGGTTTAGCACACCGTCTTAATACCTATGGTTGCTGGTTCAATTCCTCGCATGACGCAAACATTTTGTATTAATGATTAACATACTCATGATTGTATTGTTATAGATATTTATATATATTAGGTACGTATTTACAAAAAAAAAAACTGACTATTCTGTCAGTTGTCTAGTACCCATAATATAAGTTCTGCTTAGCTTGGGACTAGATGCCCCTGTGTAAATCATCTAGGGGTTATTATTAGTTCTCCGGAACGGCAACGCAGACAGGGGTATAATGGTTAATACATGATGTGATAGATGTCATTTACAACTATGTAGAGCGTCAATTTTTTTGACATTACATTAAAAACCAGCTGAGAACACTTAACTCGTCAAAATCATAGACAAGAATTCATTCGCATCGTTTATGCTCCGAAGCGAAAAATTAACCGAAGAACGACCAAATCTGGCCCCTCACTAGCTATTACGATCTCTACCGAATTACCGTTTATGACAATAGAAACGACCCTTATTGACTATTCTTCGTCCCCTGCTGCCATTCTCTCTTTTACACTTGCACGATAATCGTATTACTGTCCCTTTTCTGAGAGCATTGTTGATTGTTCGCTATATATTGCTGGTTAATACAATATTCGTATGTTAATTTTTAAATATAATAAGAATGTCGTGACTTAGTGGTTTAATACAACGACGTAGACCTCAGACGGTCGTGAGTTCGAAATTTTTGTGTTAGTTAACTGAGGTAGACTTTTTTTAATTGATGATAATAGAATGGCGCACTCCTCTGCGCTCATGGTTTACGCTGGCGATGCACCAGTGGAGGCTGATAAGATGAACATGGGGATAGGTCAGTTAAGTTTGTGAGGTCGTAGGGGAAAATTCTGGATCTACTGGACCGATTTTGAAAATTTCTTTATTGTTGGATAGCCTATTTATTAAGGAATTCTATAGGCTATATAACTCGGTGACTAATAGGAGCGGAACTTCAATGTAAAATGTAGCAAAAACGGAGTAAATGTGACGCAGACGACGTTTAACTAGTTACTAATAATTTGTTCTACTTACTTTCTGACTGTTAACTTATCTACTGTTTTTTTTTTTCTTGTTACAGATCTCCCAATATTGGATGTACCATGTGCTAAGTGACAGTGACAGTGTGCCCCAGTGTAATAAAGTGTGAAGTGACCATGTGTGGTGATACAGTGACTGTGCTTCCATCTGACCAGAGGTTCTGAATGAATATAGACAAAGGTAAGTTCGCATTGTGTATTCGTCACCAGGGGGTCTTTTAGTCATACAGTGAATAAAGTGTGACATGATATGACAAGGGTTTGGGGGTGTTTAACATAAGCAACTTATTTGTTAATTGAATGGTAGAGGGCTAGTCTACCATCCAGGGGATATAGCTTCATACACATCCTATCATCTTCCACTGATGCCGCGTTAGCGCAGGAGAAACACATTCCATTCTTATCATTTAAAATATATTTGGGTATCCTATTATTTATGATTGGGATATTTTTTTTGTATTCTTTATTGCCCTTGTCAAGTTGTGCAATTGCCGAAATGTCATATACCTAACCTTTGGATCTTTCATGTCTTTATTTCATTCTTTTAGGTCTGTATGGATCATTTGATGAACGATTTCATCAGATGGTCCGTCAACTAGTTCTTAGTTACATAAAATAAGTATTATACCGTAATATTTTGTTAAGTCTTATCTTTAATTAGATGCAGTAAAAAACCGATCGAAATGTAAGTTTACATAATCATTTTGTCACACTTTTCTACTGGTCAGATAGCCAGTAAACTTGCGATGTTCAGTCATGATGCAATCCAATTAACTGGGAGAATAATTTGTTGAAATATATTTTATCTATAGGTACTAATATTATAAAATTGTAAAGAGTTTGTTAGGTTCTATGCGCTAATGTCGGGAACAACTGGTTAGGAATGAAAGAAAAATATGTATATTTATTCAGTTTATAATAGAAATAAATAAATATATAATTTAAACCAAAGAAAACAAATTTTACATATAAACCATCGAAATGGCTCCACTCAGCTTTATTGGCATGTTCTAGGCAAACATGCCGCTGATTTTCTGTGGCACCAGTATGAAAAAGAGAGTTATTTAAAATAATATATAAAATCAAATAACAGAAAAGGAATTTAAATAATATTTGTTGCCTTTGCGGGATCCAAACTGCCTAGTCCTGTGTAATTCAATGTTTTGACAACTGCACACACCAGGTCATGACTATATTTTATTTATCGCTATCTGTTACCAGAGATATCGTCCTCTTAGTATTTTTTTTAAATAACAATTTTTTTACAATTAACGTAGCCTAAGTTTCTCCTCTAACATTATATTAGCTATCTGCGAATAAAAGTCCCGACAAAATCCAGCCGTTTCAGAGATTAGTAAGAACAAACAGAGAGACAAAAAAATATTGGATGTAACTGCCGTATAATTTGAAATTACGTACAGACACTTCAATGTTATTTGTTTGTATAGACAAGTGGCTTATTTTTATTGGTTTTATTGCCGCAATCTGGTAAGGAGTGCGAGCGAGCGAGGCGCGCCACTTGCTAATGACCATTTCCTTCATCGTCACCAATTCTCGGTACGTAACCGGAATAGATATGAATAAACCGGATAATAATGTAGTAATGTTGAAATAACCGACATATTTATGGGTACGACGTGATCAAATCTTTATATTGATTTATATCACTTATAATAATATCTTAGGACAACTCACACAGCGCCATCTAAGTTAATGGTTACTGGCACCTCCCTTCCAATCGATCCTCCGTCCAATTCAAATGGGGATCGAAATTACGACTGCCTGAGCCGAGGTTCGTACCCCTAGCGGGCCCTCAGACTAAAGTAGTATCCGGCAGGCGAGAGTTGGCCTTCAGCCGCTCCATAAGTTCTTCCACGTGTTTAGAGTGCCATCTGCACTCGTCTCCTATCATCCGGTGAAGCTGTAAAGACCAGCTGTGACTAACAGCATTAGAGTTGTCCGAAAAAAAAACTACCAACTGATAAAAATATTTTGCTACTGAAAGTACAATTGAAATACAGAAAGATGAGAAACGACATTCTCACTGTCGATGGATCAGAATTATTTTCAAAACAGACCTGGCGGGCGTTTATCTCTAAATATCTGATTATAAGAAAGAGCCATTAAATTTGACAACTGTATAAAAAAACAGATGCCAATTAGCAGAAATCAAAAAGAAATAATTAACTGAAAAGCGAAAGGTATCAAGTTTACATCAAAACATCTTATTTTAGTAGATTTTACGCAATGAATATCCTGTTATGGTATTAGGTAGGTATAACGTTGTTAGGTCTGTTAATTAATTATATTGTAATTACTAGCAGTGCCCGCTGTTTAATCCGCATGAACATTATTTGTGTGTTCTATGTGTTATTCTGATATATAAGCTATATTACTGTAAAGTTTCATCAAACGACTTTCAATAGTTTTTGCGTGAAATAGTAACAAACATCTATCTATACATCCATACTCACAAACTTTCGCGTTTATAATATTAGTAAGATAATCTATCCATCTACTACTCCCACTGGTTCAACTGAAAATCAGCGTTTAGGCTTTACAGCCTAGACACAAAGCCGAGTGGTAAACAATTTGGACGCAACTGTATTTCTTAAATAATTAGTTATAAAACTATATTAATGATATTCTGAATGTCTTATTACATGTTTGCTCTGTATGCGCCAAGTAAATTTAGTTTTCTTTCTTTATTTGAGTGGAAACATAAAAACTAACAGCAATGATCGATAACTACTGCCATGAATAAAACAGCGCGTTTACACATTCAACAATCATTTATTACCTCGGAACGGTAAAAGAAATCACAATTATATAAAAGTGCTGGCATCTGTTACTTTGTACATTCTAATTGCAACCTTATATGTTGATAATACAGTTCACAAGGCGATTTATTGTTGTACCGTATTGACAATGAGTTAAGATCCATAAAGGTTCGCAAGGAACTCGTCTTAGGTGTCTAATTATACATTGTAATTTAGACTTTGCAGCAACGGAATTGAGTTCAATGATCGCGTAGTGGTGCTAAAATCCATATATGGTGCCAATTGTTGAACGCAACGAGCAAGTCGGCATGAAAGTATTGACGATTGCATTTACATGTCTCAGAATGATTGCTACCAGGGCTGCCAACCGTCCTTCCAACGAGAATATCTAATACTCGTACGATATTTTTGAAATTCTCCTTATCCGAGACGAGAATACATACGAGAATTTTGGTCTTCGATACGTGGATATATTTTTTAAAATTGGAATGACAAATAGGCCTGTGGACAAATGTGGGCTTTTACCTGATTGTAAATGGTAACCGTTGATAATATTATTAGTATTATTAGTGTCTGAAATAGATAGACATGTTTGTACGATATTTTTATCTACGGAATTTGGCCAACATCTTATAATACGAGGTTTCAAATCCAAAATGAGCCAAGATACGAGTTTTTTACTTCTTTTTAATAGGTACAATTTTTAGGTTGACAACCCTGATATAAGTTGGTATGGCGCAACAGATTGAGAATCCGGTTTACTGTTGCTAGAAATATAATTATATTGTTCTCGTCATCTAATAATATCTAATATAAATAGCATATACTTTGTTACAATAACAAAGTAGCTGTTTTCTTCCGTCTAATTCACATAATTCTAAATCTTGTAGTATGCCAGCCTTGCATTAGACTTTTTTTTATCATATCATACACACCAGGGGAAGTGCAAGTGCAATAACAAAATACACAATACAGCAGTTATAATAATACTTTTTAATACAATAATTATATACATTATGTATAAATAGATATATTTCTATAAATATATATACATATTTATATTTAAGATATTGAATACCGTTACCAGTTTTATTAAACAAAAGATGCGCATCAATACTTATTTAATGCGCTCAGAACCTTGTAGTTTCTAGACTAATTTTCATTAATTACTTATGTATAATTATTACTATATTTGTACTTTGGGAACAGTAAAACATGATATCACCTATTATTTATATACTACCAAGTATACTGTACTAGACATTCTTAATAAATAATAATCTTCTTATACATAAAAGTGAAATGACGTATGTTAGTCTCATTAAAACTATATAACGGCAGGAACGATTTGGCTAATTTTAGTTTTGAAACATTCGTAGAAGTCCAAGGAAGGTTTAAGTGGTGCGAAAATATCACGAAATGTAATGGAAAGGAGCGAAAAAACGACTGTATTTTCCCATACTAACTGTTAGCGTATGGTGCAAATAGGGGTCGTTTAATTTACCGCGTAACTAAACTTCAAAAACCTTTATTTAATTCTGAGGCGGAATGGAGATCGTAGGGTTAGTTAGTAATTATTAAAAATAATCCTCGTTATGATATCAGTGTACATTATATAACTCTTTTTCAGTGTACACTCGGTTGCATCGCTTCACGGTGCACTGAATACACTTTGTGGAATTATTACTGACCTACTTCTACTTGTATACCTAACAAACCGTACTAAAACATGGAATTAGACTAAGCTAATATTTTTTCATCGACTGCTCAAATCTGCACATACTTTTTATATTTATGAATTTTCCAGGCGACTTCACAACATTGTCCTCTGGGCGGTAAGGCCATTAGTTAGTTAGTATATTACCCCATTGCTAGCAATGTACAATGACTAGTTGACATTCACACGGTTTCCCTGGAAACTATCATATTAAATTTCTAATGAATTTGTCACAGTGGGCTAATTGACTTGACCTTATACTCATCACCCTCCACTGTTGTCCTGCCAGAGTAATACGTTACCGCAAATTTTTGCCATTCCGTTATCGTGTCCTGTATTGGGCTCTATTACATAAAATAAAGAAAAAGGTCAGTATTAACGAAGTTAGGGGCCGCGCCTAGTATCCGCAATAAAACGTTAAAATAGGTGTTCCCACGTGTTTAAGAAATGGTTTCTAATTCGAGTTGGAGTAAAGCGATCGGTAACCGCTGAGACAATGGGGGTCACCGACCTGGCGACCGGCGTGACCACTGTTAACCAGATGTGAGACAGATGCGCAATTAGGCATGAAACTTTAGAATCAAAATTGTGTCTCTTGAGGACATGTCGAAATGCGCAATTCGGCATAAAACTTCAGAACTTGTCTTTTGTTCACGATTTTCTTCATGTTTTTTATAAATTTAC